AAATGCTCTTCATCCAAACACCCATGTAGCTCCTTCCCTACTCATTCATATCTTCAAATGCACTCGACTGCCATATTTGAAATCACAACTCCTGCCCACACAAAACTCTCCTTCCCTGATTTAGTTTTCCATAGCCAACTAACATACTACTATTTGCGTCTTTCAATAGAATGCTAATCCCATGAAGGTAGGACTCTTGTGTTTGTTCAGTGTGTATCCATCCCTACTCCCTCAGGTAGTGTTTGGATAGAGGTAAGCCAGTGTCACTTTGTTGGAACTCAACAATATTTGTTGAATGAAAGACCACATTTTTGTCAAGAACAGGATATATTCTGCTCAATTTTTCAGCTGTATTACTAGTGATTACCCTTTTCTGCAAATGTTTCTCTCCATGTTTCCATGACTCCAAACTCCAATTTTCTACTTACATTACTGGTCACTTCTGTGAGTCTTTCCTTGACTGTTTCTCTTTTATCAGACCTTGAAATGTGGAGGTCCTCAGGATTTGTCCTTGACCATGTTCACTTTACTTTTTTTTCCTAGTGAATCTCATTTCGTGCTTTTAAATACCACCTCTCTGTTGGTGATTCATGGTGTTTTATCTCTGACCTACATGCCTTCTCCAGGTTCCAGTTATTCCCAGCTCTTACTCCGCATTTTTCTTTGGATATCTAATATCTACCATCTTAAACTTACTATGGTCAAAACAGCACAATTGATTTTTCTTCCCTATAAGCCATTACTTCACCCCACTTCCAAACACTTTCTAGACGATTATGCCAAAAATTTCTTTGAGGCAGACTTCATCTTGTTCAGTACAACCAACAAAAATGCCTGCCACCATTGTAACAACTCCATAAAAGTGTTTATTTTCTGGATACTTAGTGGAAGTTCCTCTACTAGGGAAAAATAATTTGGATTATTCTTGTTTTGACTTCATTTTTCCTTTTAAAGCTAAGAATGAGATAAAAATATGTGAAAAGACAAACCATAATATTTGGGCCATGGTAGGTGTTCAATAAATCTTAGTTAACTTCCTTTCTATAAATTCCATTCAATCTTCATGATCATTCTTAAGATTAGATTAAGAGGAACTTCACATAATTATCTTGTGGGATCATGAGAGTCTTTTGATGTAGGTATTATTATCATTTTTTAAGATGAGGAAATTGAAGCTCGGAGCAGGATAATTATTGTAGAATTTAAATAAGGGAAAGCATCTGAACTTTTTAATACAATACCTGTCTTATGGTAGGTATACAATCCAAATATAAGCTTCCTTTCCTAAGAACTCCTTGCCCGGTTATCCTCCGGCTCGCTGTTATTCACAAAAATCATTTAAGCCACGTTGCAACAGCACATCTCCACTGTATATTTCTTCATCACAGGGAATGCAGAAAAGATTCGCAAATCTGGTCTAGAGATAGGAGGACAGTGAGTGGAACTCCATATTCCTGAGTTGGTATTCTTTTTTTTTTTTTTAAGAATATGATCCCTCTTGCATGGTTGCAAGGAACTAAGTTCCAAAGGTGAATCCAAACACAACCTGGGAGAGCTAATTCCAAGTGGTTG